TTATGGGTGCTTGCTTAGCAAGCACTGACTCATGTGTGATGCAAGCACATTCCACACATCCAACTAAAATCAAAACGCATTAAACATAAAATAGACATGATTTTAAGTTGGGAAAGACCGAAGAATGCGATGGGATTAGAACCATGCATATTTTGGGATTGGTTATGAACATTTTCATGGTTTTGATGTTCTTACATTTCTGACTCAAGTCTCCGCAATGAACATTTTCCCGCCAAAATTGACGATGAAAATCCCCTAAAATAAACACAAATTTTCTACCAAAGATTTTACGGGGGTAATGAAGTTGACTTGCGTTTATGTTATGATAACGGATGGATTATAAAGTTTGACTGCGTTTACCTCCCTTCCACTAAACCGGTCAAAACGAACTCAATCAAAATAATACTTAAACCGGAATTGCTTTAACCACTGAAACCAACACAATCTGTAGCATTTTTTTTATAAAAATCAGAAATCACTTTTTACTACCATAGCAAACATTCCTAACAGGCTAACAGTAAGTCAGTAATCAAAGACTTGTGTTCGAGTCAAGACAAGAACCAAACAAAAATAGAGGCTCAAGACTAAGCCGAGATTAGTTCAAATCCCACATCTTTTTTTATTACAAGAAGAAATCGAATGGATGGTAAGACTTTGAATGAAGTTGTCTTGTAAAGACAACAGCGGGAAAACGAAGGGTTTCGTCTAAAAAGGAAAAAGAGAATTACAAAGATAGTTCAAAAATATTTAAAAAACTCGAGAATTACAACAAATTGGATTTCTTTGTGAAATAAATTAAGGAAACTTGAAAAGAAAAGAGTGACACCAAAATTCTATTTTTGATGAGTCAGTGCTAAGTTTTTAACGACGGCAAAAAGGTTTAGTAAAAAAAAATACAAAATTGTAATATTATAAGCAAAATAAGGTTACATTACATAGCATTAGAGTAGGTCACCCGATTTTACAAGTGTGGTCTCTAAATTTGGTAAACGTGTGGCCTAAACCTGATTCAGTTTTAGGGTAGGATTGGTCTCTTTTTTTGTTGATTTATTTGGCAATTGAGAGCCTTTTCCTCCAAGTTATACATATAGTCTCTCTCTATAGATCCTTGATTGGGGTGTTTACTAGTTGTCTTGTGTCGCCGAGCCAAGCAACATTGTCTTTCTACGTCTATTATAGTTTTTCATTTTTTTTATTGATTTATTTTTCGGAGGAAGAAGCACTGACTGATGCATGTATGATGCAAGCACCTTTGCACAAATAAAACAATGATAAATAGCAATTAAACAAAAAAAATGGTTTGAAGCATATATAAATTGGTTCTTGGAATGGAGAAAAGCAAACGAAACCTAACGAAGCATTCTGCTTTGAATTCATCTATGGGATAAAAACAATAGAAGATTACGTAAAATAGAAAACGCGTATGGTTAAAATCAGAGACTATGTAATGAATCTGTATATATTTCATCGACTTTGGTATTTCTTTTGTATGTTGTCTTATCTATTAGCTTTCTTTGTATATGTAATCAGGAATCTTTAAAATCCTAAGAAATGCGAGAAAGTTTGATGAATGAGAAGAAAGATAGTGGGGAATACCAAGTTTTTATGAACAAGATTTTACCTTGGTGTTTCTTTTCTTACTGGTGCTCTAGTTTGAGGAAGAAGATTGCCATCCAAGCAAAGCTGAATGAAAACTGGAAGGCTCTGTCTATATGTGTAATGCTCGAAAACATCATCTGGGAGGACTCTGTTATGTGATTCCATAAAATCAATTTGAGCTTGTGTGAATGTTGGGAGTCCATCATCAGAAGGTGACCACTCTTTCTCTGTCCCCATAGTTCCAAGTCCTGCAAAAGGTGTCAAGTCTGGTTTCTGTGCCATTGTTTCAAGCCCATCAGAAGTTGAAGACAGGTCTGGTTTTTTCGCCCTTTTTTCAAGTCCATCAGAAGGTGAAGAGTTTTGGGTCACTGTGTGGTGTCCATCAACAGAAAGTGGCGAGTTTAGTCTTGAGCCACGAGTGGTAGTACTGGTGCAGAGATTGGCTGTAGTAGGGTTAGTACAAATGGGAGTGTGGACAGGTGGCTCGCTGGTGTTTGTGTTGGTCTGGCTAGAGGAAGCTGATTGGTTCAAGTCATGGGCCAATTGGTAGCCAGTGGGTCTTGGAAACCTGCCTAGGTAATGTGTCTGATAGAGGCCAGGCCCATGGGGAGATGCTGGTGATTGTAAGTAGGGAACAGGTGGTCCATGTAATGGTCTCGGATAGGCGTAGCCAGGAGGCAGGTATGGATGACCATAGCTTGGAGGCGTAAGCGGGAGCGGACCCTGCAGGTTGATTACATAAAGCGTAATTGGTATTTGAGTTGTTTGTTTCCGAGACAAAGGTTACTCATACAAGGAAAGTTTGTTGAGAACTACTTACACCGTATTGCAAGTGTGGACCATGATGCTGGAGTGGAACAGGAGAAGCTAGCATTTGTGAAGATTTTGGTGTGAGGATGAATGGTTCAGCAGTAGCTTGCAGCTTTGATGGTTTAGCAGCCTATGAACACAGAGAAACGCAGATAAGGACAGTTATGATTCTTCAGAAAAAATCCTGGTAAAGAAAGTGTTATGAAAGAAACCTTTGGTGTCTCTGGTTTTGTAGAAGGACTATTTGCCAAAATCTTTACTTTTCCACCTGAAGAATGCTGAGGCCGAGTGTTTTCCTGCAAAATCATACGCAAACACTTCAAAGCATAAACATGAGCCTAGTTGTGATAGGATACACAATCTTTGCTTCTCTTGAATAAGACAAGAAATTGGAAAGTTCATAATTATCTATACTTGTAATCAATGTTCAACTTGATCAGGCTTCAGCTTTGGCTTCCTTTTTGGTTCATAACAGTCCTCCAAAGACATCAAATCACTAACGTCTGTCTAACAACTCTATGTTCTGACCATTTTGGAACATCATTGGCAATGTTCGAATATAAACCGCATTTCTTCAAGTAATTCAGTGATGTTCTTACCTATAAACCGATTCTAATCTAACCAATATGTAAAGGATAAAGAACAAAGATGTACCTTGTTTTCGCTTCTAGGGCTGCTAAACTCTGTACTCTTGTGTTGACTCCGGACAACTGAAGAACGAGCAGATCGTCCAAGAGAGCATGAAGGAGAATCTGATACCTTCTTTCCAGTGGCTGATTTGACCAGAACTCCATCCATCAAGACTCCTTCATCCGAGCATAAGGCACGAAAGCGCCTACGAGGGAGTGGATCTGATTTCGAGTCCTGTAAGCATTGCAACAAGAGAGACTTTGCATTGCTAATGCTATAATTCCTTTTAGGAGCCACCGGACTCAAAAGTGATGACATTTTTAGCTGAAACCGGCCCTGCTGGATCCTATCCATCGGCCACGTCTGGTTGCTTTGAGGGCTCTGCTTCGGCGTCTTGTAATCCACCTCATCTAGGATAAATGGCTCGTCTTTATCCATCAGATCTCTACAGTTGGATAATCTGAGGTTCCTTGGAGCAACAGACTTCAAAATGAGACATTTTTTTAGTCAAAATCACTATTGGATTTGCAATATAACACACAAAAAGAACAAATCACCAGAGAAGTCTTAAGACCTATTTGCTGTTTTTCCCAGTCGCTTAAGAGATTTCGGAGAAAACTTCGACAATTTGAAGAATGTAAAATAGCAACGGATTCAATTCGAGAGAAGAAACAAAAAGTTGAAGTTTCAGATCAAATTAAGAACACGTCTCTGCAGTAACAATTTTCGCGCCAAAATTGAGGATGATGATTCTCGAGATTAACGCAAAATCCACCGGTGAATCGCCGGGAAAAAAACCACCGGTAATCATCACAAGTTGAAGAAATAACAAAATCGAGAGCGATTGAAGTATACAGGAAGAAGAAGAAGCAGATCCGATCATAAAATCAAATCGCGAACGAGAAAAAACAAACCGATCAAACTAGCAAAATCAAAAGCTCGAATCTGGAAACAAATCGAAATCGCATACCTAGAGATCGAGTAGCTAATTTTTGCTCCTCTGAATCGAAAGCAGAACGAAGAAGAAGCTCGCTCTCCACGGTGAAGAGAGAGAAGAGGGAAAAATCTGTTTCGAACAGACGAATCTAGTCAACGTTCTCAGTATATATACAGTTAACGGAGAAGATAACGGCTGAAAGATTCCGTTATCCATTTCGATTATCACTGGGTCTAAACTCTGACGGTGTTAGTTTCTTCGCCTTCCACTACTCCGGTGACGAACTGAGCCACAAAACTATTGAACCGTAAATGATTCTTCCAGAAATTCCATATACTGAACCAAAACTACGTTTGGCTACAAGGATTAGTGTATACTAAGCATTAATAAGATATTAAAAGAAAAATGATAAAATTAAATGGGCCCTAAAAATAAGATTTAGCAGATACTGGGCTTCTCGGCCCAAACCGTAACATTTGTCACACAACATCATCAGGAGGACAGGAAGCATTCAGTTTCAGAGCTTGAAGATGATGATCTTCGTTGATCATGAATGTTTCTGGGAAACAAATTTTCTCAGGAATCTAAAGGACGTGGAAGATGTGAGGAATTATCAAAGTCTTCGTCGTTTTACCGGAAAGTTTACTCGGAGGTTGCTGCTAATTTCATCGATCCTTGTTTTCTGAAATCGATTGCTCACGAATTCAATTTTGTTTGATGAACGATTTTTTGTTTTGATTTTTGTAGATAGAGGAAATTGGATGGGAATCGCTAAGGAGATTAGTTGGAGATTTGTCGTTTTTCAGCTTTCACATTCTGTAAGTTCCAGAATTTTTCTTAGGGTTTTCTTCGATTTCACTGGATAATGTGATTAGTCTATTGCATTTTATTAGCTAATATAATCGTTTCTATATTGTGGCTTAATCATTCGTGTGAAATGTTAGCTTTGTGTTCTGAACATTTTCATTATACAGAGATAAGAAGAAGAGCACACATCTTAGAAATTCAACTTGATAGAGACTATCCTAAATCCCCACCTTCTGTTTCCGCGGTTTTTTCTCGCTTTCTTATGTTTCTCAGTTCGAATTCTCCGCTCTTCGTGGCCCGGTTAACTTTTGCTTGAATGCAGGATGTGCCATATATGGGTACTTTAGATTGGTCAATAAGCTCAAGATTGAAGGATGTGATGAACCAATTTCAAAAGGTACTACATTCTCTCTTAGTAATCATTAATCACAGCAAAATTATCGGTTTCTTTGTTAACAGCATCTGGACAATCTTCAAGAATTTTGGTCTGTCTTGGATGATATCGACAAGTCTCTCTGTGTTGTTGATGCTAAGCAACCATCTCGTGCTTCTCCTGTCCGTCGGATTCATGCTGGTTTAACACCTTTGACCCTTTTCTGTTTTATCATCTTTAAGTTCTGTGTTATAACGACTCACTTTTATCTATCTACTTGGTTCATTTTTCTCAGGAAACGATTGCATCCTCATTGTTCATATCAATTTCAACGACCCTAAAATCCCTACCAGAGTATGTTTCTAGCCAAACACACACACACAATAACAATCTCTTTTTTTGTTTTTAACTTATCCAATAGCGAATTGCTTAGACAGGTGCCGGTTTATTGGTCCTGTGCCTCTGCATATGAACGACTTATGGAGAAGAAATAGCAAAAAATGGTAAAATCTTTTGTCTGTTCTCTCAAGCTCTTTTGATAGATAGCACGGAACTGGTAGAGAACTGAGTTTTTTATGGATTGTTGAAAGCATGAATCACGTTTAGTTATAATCACACAGGTCAAAGGAAAAACCATTCCCTGAGAACCTTGAATGTATTTTAGGTACTGAGCTTCCAAAGCGTACAAATCTCCAAGCAGAAGACCATCATCAACAAATTGAATGCGGAATTTGCTATGCGCAGTTTCTACCCACCGGTGATTTCTCAAACCTATTGAATAAACAATGCTTCAGAGTAAGAACTTGCTGATAATAGTTCACTAACTTACCTTTTACTTTAACAAAGATGAGGAACTCGGAGCTAGAAGTGGGACGAGAACACACTACACCTGCGAAAACATCAGTTGCAACAAGTCTTTCCATAGCATTTGCCTCACAGACTGGTTAAGGTCTATCACAACAACGAGACAGTAAGTAAAAACCTTAATATTTCTCCCTCTCTCTCACACACACACATAAGCCCTAAGCTCAAGTATGATTCAAATTCTTGCAGGTCATTTGATGTTCTGTTTGGGAACTGCCCTTACTGTTCAGACCCAGTCGCAGTCAAAATCAACAACAAATAGAGTAAGACAAACCATCCACTTAGCTCAAAGCTATACTTCCTCATTAGCTGATTATGAGGACAGAACTTCCTTTGTAGTCTTTTTCTTCCAAACCAATCAAAACCCACAAAG